GGCCATGTTTGTTGAATTTGGCCTATAGGCCTATTTATAATAATATACTATACGGCTTAAAGAAAAGAAGAACCAAACGCTATCGCATTGTTTACCAGCAATACATAATAATATACAAATATAATGTATTAATTAATGCAATTATGCCAATATATTTTCAGAAACTCTACATTGCCATTATGTGACGCATTAGATGACCTTAGTAGAGTATGACCCAACTCCTAGCCAGCTCATCAGGTGTCAGATATTCACAGACATTTGACAACGTGGCCTAGATGCCTCCACCGAATTCGTTAATTCTGAGCATCATCCATAATCGATTTATTCTCCATTCGCAACTCTGGATGAATATTTGGTAATGTTTTTCTAGATACAAGATGCAAAATGTAAAATGAATGTTTTTCATTTTCATCTATAAATACAAGATAAAACATAAACTGCAAACAAATATACAAAAGGTGTCAGGGACGTATCCGGGGGGGGGGGGGTGTGGGAGCTGCAGCCCCCCCCCCTTTGTACACAGTGTAAACATTCAGCTTGTTCTTGAGCCAATACAAATTCTTTCCTGTGATCACTCAAAATGAATACTTCTAAAATACGTAAATATGAATCAGTCCCGGCATGAGGTCACGTTAAATTTGTTTTTAGGATGTGATCTGGGTTTTTTTATGCCCATTTTTCGTAATTATGTTTTTTTGGATAAACAATGTTTTGAGCAGTGGTAGATTTAAGGACTCCCTTCCCCCTTAAATTTTTTTAATGGAAAAAAAATATATACAAATTTAAGTCTGAGAGTGTAATTTCGGCCATCTAGAGGTGCCCTAAACATAAATCTTCTTGCCTCAGTGGGGCTGAGGTGGGTGTTCCTCAGTCTGTGAAAGTCCTTCCCTGGGTCGCCTCTCTTTCGAATTTCTGGATCCGACACTGTTGATTTATTATATAACCATTGTTAGGCTTATTAATATTATTTATGATGCGTCTGTTGCAATTTTCACTTTATCCTCTCAAAACAGTCCTAAAAACGTTCAGGCGTGCGCTACTTCACATGGGGATTCGCCGCCGCGGGGGTCCTACGTACCTCGCATAACGGCTCCCCCCACCCCCTTTCAAAATCCTGGCTACGTCCCTGAAAGGTGTTAACGGGTACGGTATCGGTATGGTCTTACTGACGGTATTGAAACATACTGCAAGGCGGTTCACGTATGCGCAGGACCAATTCATGTTTTAATATATTTGAACCTATTTTGTCCTACATTTTAGAAGCGCCAGAACATCTATCCACTCGAACTTTTTCACTTCTGTCAACAAGGAGCCTTGTGCGTAAGACGAAATGGAAGCTGACTACGTTAGTCTACAACTTCAAGTTGAAACTCTATTTAATGTAAATTTGCACGTTTTTCCATTTATTTCTGTTATTGTTTTATTTAGGCCCCTAAGCAGTTTTTACAGTGAAAATCCAACCGATACCCACTGGTTTACGTCTGGCGATACACGACGGTAGATGTGAACAGTGGCGTGTCGCAGACACACACATGTGATGTGTTAAGACATGAATTGTAGATATCTGGCGGACAGACGTGTAAAGACGTAAATTGTAGGTGTATCGGGTGGACAATCTGGTTCAAACGCATTTAGCTTTGGACATGCGCTGCCTTTCAATTAGATGGCCTGACGTGACCTCCCAGTGGATGGCCATCAATGAGAATGAAATCATAGCCTAATGATGGTCATCAGAGAAAACTTTATCAGAAAAATAGGAAATGGACATTCCACATGGGATCTGGAATTTAAAAGCTAAAATAAATGGTCTATTTTAACGTACACACCAGGGATTCACCAATAAATAGTATCAGGTACGCGCATAAAAATGTTATTATATATAATTCGTGATCCCGAGTTGCGACACGCGATCATTTTAATAGAGTGCTCGATGGTCTATCAAATTACACATCAAAATTTAAATCGTTTAAAATACGACGGAATACTGCGTCATAATATATGCATTACTTGCTAAAGTAGAAATTTATATTCAAAGTTTTAAATTATTCAACAAATATGCAAAATAATTATAATTACAATTTGTTTACACCAGCTTAATGATCGACATCTATTCAACGCACCTACTCTCAAAGAATACAAGTAAATAACCTGTGACCGATAATATACCAATACAATTACAACGCAATTAATGACGTCATATCGAATGTTGTACTGTTAACTTTTTTGTACTTCTTCGAATACATCTACACAATTAGATTATCCTGTAAAGGACTATTGTCTCGACCACCTTCACAAAATATTATTATAAAATAAATAAATAGATGACGTCATATATATGTTCGATATAATTTATGGATATTTTATGTACTATTAATATTATTTTTGAGACTATAAGTGCTATAATTATAGTGCTATAGACTATTATCATGGAGGTATAATTATTATTATTATTATAAGTAGGTATCCACTTGTACTTCAATATAGATATAATTGTGTTCTAGATAATTATAATATAGGCCTATATTATTTATAATAGGCCTATTGTTTTGGTAATTTAAAGGGGATTAGAGAGGATTACAGATTTTTGTTTTGTTATTATGTTCGCGTTTGTGTTTCTGCCCACTCATTCAATTTATTGTATTAGTATTCTGTATATTACCGTACGTACCAGCATTGTATACTGTACTTCCTGCTTTTTGGCAAAATAAAGAATAAGAATAATAATTTACGTTGATTTTGTTTTATTTTCGAATATATCAATACAATCGCCACGTATCGTGTGACGTCATAATGGAATTTTTACTTCTAATATATTTTGTACCCTTTAATTTCGGGAATTTAAATATTCTTACTCGATTCACTTTAGCCCGAAGCTTAGAACTGTATCGAGCAATGAATTAATGTGTTTTTAATGTGGGCTCTAGGCGTGCATATATTTCTAGATTTCTGAGGTTTGACTTCCGAAAGGGTTTTGAAGCTCATAATGCAAAAATAAACATCTGTGTACTCTAATGGTGTAGGCCTGCAGTCTGTTATGACACACGGGCAACCTACAGTCGCCAACCAACCCTCCCTGTGCTTTCAGCATTTTTACGAATATTTACCTTGAATTTTTAACTTACAAGTACAGGTAATACAAATCGACAATAATAATTGCGATTATGAATGCAGCAAAGCCAATTCATAGTATTCTACAATGATTGTCATAGAGTTATTATTAATATTAAAATTATTGTTATTATTATAATTATAATAATTATTATTAATATTTTACAGTGATTGTCATAGAGTTATTATTAATATTAAAATTATTATTAGTATCATCAGCATCATCATCTTTATCATTATCGTAAATTTTAAGAACTTACAAGTAATACAAATCGACAACGGTAATGCAACAAAGCCAATTCGTAATATTCTACAATGATTGTCATTGAGTTATTATTATTAATATTATTATTATTATTATTATCATTATTATTATTATTATTATCATTATTATTATTATTATTGTTATTATAAGGCAGGCTATTATCATCATCATCATTATCGTGAATTTGGTAATTGAGATTATGAATGCAGTGAACTCATACGGTAATATTTTATAATGATTGTCATAGGGTTATTATTAATATTATTAATCTTATTATTATTATTATTATTATTATTATATTATTAATATTATTATTAATATTATTATTATTAATATTATTATTATTAATATTATTATTATTATTATGATTTCTGTTAATTTTTTCACTTAAAAAACTTTTAAAATCTCATAATTTATGAATAGGGTCTACTTTTAAATGCATATTCTATTGAAAGACATACATTGCATGCGCAGTAGTGTATGCTGCCGCCAACGGCTACAGGGAACATAACTTCAATAAACCGTCTGTGTTTGACCAAAGAATACAGAATTGCAGTTATATACTCTTCTGTTTGACTTAATCGACTCAATAATTATAGCTTAGTATTTTTTTTTTAGCTCTTTCTATTAGTTTTTCTTCTATTTTTGAGTCGTTTTTTGTTTAATTTTGCGGATCTCTTTTGCCCTTTAGTTCATCTATTTTGTGTAATTTCACAGGCTGTGGACGAAAATTGTTTTTGCATTTCTTGGTAATGTTGAGTTTAACCTAGCAGCTAGTGCGGAAGTTCTTACGCATCTCTTTTCTTTCTGGTCTTGATGGCTTCTCTTAATAAAGAAAAAAGTTAAAGCTGCAGAAATAGTAGCTAGATTGAAACAGTGGTGGTGCCAGCGGGGGAAGGGAAATTCCCCCCCCCCCCCGTCAAACATATACATATTTTAGCCTGCGCGGGGAAAGACACTATCGAAATACCTACTACTTAACTAAAGGAAGGAACTATCAGAAAATCATAAAAATCAAGTGTCTTCTTTAAGGTGGAAAATCATCTTTGAAGGAATTCTTAAATTGAATTTGAAAAAAAAGAAAGAATTGCATTCTATGTTGAGGGTTCATTCATACCTAATCTTCATCAATATATAATTTATTTTTTCACTTATTCTTGTCAGCTTATGCTCTATATTAATAAAACAATTTAAAACAAATATTATTTTAATAATTTGTGAACATTGGGTGCCTCTGAGTCTTATAATTTTATAACATAAACAAACATATTTTTTGTTAAATTTTATCTGTTTTCTGTAATTTTTTGAATTCATGAATAAAAATAAAATAATATGTCAGAACTACCTTACTTTTTGGATATTAAATGAATAGGCCTCATGTCTTATCGCGGGCCGGTAATACGTTGCACGTTTTACAGTTTTTCTGGAGGATCCTTGGATACCTGTCTCTTATACACATCTAGATGTGTATAAGAGACAGACTAATATCCATTCAGCCTAATGTTATCTACCTTATAATTAGCAGGCGAACCGGCTCCGAATAATAAAGAGAGATATTGAATTGGTATTCGTGTTTATGATAATTGCTGATCGGCGTACAATTCTCTGTACTCAACACGCAGATCTTAAAGCACACTGATCACAGCTAGACGAACTGCAAGCGATCATGGCGTCGATAGGATGTGGAGTTAGCAGTTGTAGTAGCTACGTCTTTTTAGTTCGCAGAGGAAGATAAATTTGGATATTTACCACAAGATCGCAATTTCATCCTCGTGAATAATTATTGTCAATCTCTCTGGATTTTTAACGCAATGTAAGTTTATTTCCGTTTATACCCGTTTGTTTACTATACCAAGGTTATCGACTTGGGAAAATAAGCATCTACACCGCGATAGCGATCGCGAACAGCTGGAAGACTGAGTATCAGTCCGATCACCCTAATCGTACCATCATATTTTAAGCCTGGATTTTATTTAATATTTTTGACCACAGTCATGGCGGCGGCATGGTTGCCGTTTGCAAGGGCGGCTGCAATAGGATGGGTACCGATAGCAAGCACTCCTATGCCCGAAATCTCGAGAAGAACAACAGATGGAAATATGAACTCGAGAGTAAATATCAACATCAGTGGCCGGTTGTTCGAAACTTGGCGATACAGTCTTGAAAAATACCCTGACACATTACTCGGAAGCAACGAAAAGGAATTCTTTTACGATGAGGAGAAAGATGAGTATTTCTTTGACCGAGATCCAGAATTCTTTCGGCACATACTGACTTTTTATCGTACAGGACATATGCATTTCCCACGGTCCGAATGTATTAGTGCATTTGACGAAGAGCTGTCATTTTTTGGAATACTCCCGGAAATTATTGGTGATTGTTGTTACGAGGATTATCGGGATAGGAAAAGGGATAACAGTGATCGAGTAGCTGATGAAAAATCATCAGAAGTTGAAGATACTGTTTTACCAACCACAATCAGAGGAAAGGTGTTCAGGGCGTTTGAAAACCCACAGTCGAGCACCATGGCGCTTGTAATTTACTACGTTACTGGGTTTTTCATTGCCGTCTCCGTGATAGCAAATGTTACAGAAACAGTTCATTGCGATCCCTTCCCTGGAAAAACATCCGCAGTGCCTTGTGGAGAAAGATATGAAAAAGGATTTTTCATTTTGGATACTGCATGCGTTTTGATCTTTACAGTGGAATATACGGCCCGACTATGGGCGGCTGACGATCGGTGCAAATTTATGCGAAGTGTTATGTCTGTTATAGACGTGGTTGCAATTCTTCCCTATTATGTTGGACTTTTCGTTACCGGTGACGAACTAACGGGTATGTTCGTAACACTTAGGGTTTTCAGGGTTTTTAGAATTTTCAAATTTTCCCGGCATTCGCAAGGCTTACGAATCCTTGGATACACATTGAAAAGTTGTGCAAGTGAACTTGGATTTTTACTCTTCTCGCTCACTATGGCTATAATCATCTTTGCCACAATTATGTACTACGCAGAAAAAAGCGACCAAAATACCGTGTTTATAAGCATCCCAGCTGCATTCTGGTACACTATAGTAACCATGACAACACTTGGGTAAGTTGGAATAATCAAAGGTTTTGCATTCTTGTAATTATATATTTAAAAAACTGATGTTTAAACACACGCACGTGGATTGGCACGGCAATGCCTTTCTGTGTTCTACAGTGCGTATATTTAGATAGTGTTGTTATCTTCAGCCATGTTGTAAATATAGATTTTTCCAATAGTGAAGCCCATTAAAAATTAATGTGCTTAAGTCACACCGAGCGTCTGTGCTCTCTTGTTACGTACAGAAATAAAGAAAGGTATATCCAATCTTTGTTGATCCAAGTCGTGTGCGTCAGGTTTAATATTAATCCACATTGCCTCCGTTCCATTGAAAATGACAGGTTGAACAAGATAAATGTGCCAATATATATTTTGGAAATTTTCGAAATTATATTTAAAAAAGCATATTCATATATCACATGAAATAATTTTAAATATTTTATTAGACAGATCATTAAATTAAATTGTTATTTCATATACTACCCATTCGATTTAGCATTATTTCATTAATGTTTTATCCCACCTGGACTGGAATTTTTATTATCTCTTACATTCATATGCTTATAAGAATACTACAGTACTACACTACTGAACTTCAGAATAGGATGCTATCCATTGGTAACTACTGTATTATTTTAAGCCATCTGTAACTTCATGCATTG